TATATATGATGCAATACATTTGTCCAGACAAAAATAAACTGAATACACAATGGAAATTAGGAGTGCCCAAAGAAAATTAGTGCTATCCTGTGTATAAATTTAGAAATCCACTGACGTCTGTCCTGTCACACCTCCCTGTGGATTTGATTACCAAACCCCCTTTAGATTTTGACGTGATGAGAGGTCAGTGATCTGTATCTCTCCGTAACTGTGCAGTCAGGGTGTCTGCCGAGTGAAAGTATGATAAATCTGAAGTGGAGGGGCAGTGGGCTTCTCTGGTTTCCAAAATGAGGCTTCGCTGACTCCACATGATCTACCTCACCACAGACTGCTGTCTCCCCCACACCCTCTGTTTATCTCCCTCTCTCATTTCTCTCTCTTTTAATCTATGTATTTCTCTGTCTTTCTGCTGTCTCCCCTTTCCGTGCACTCCCACCCCCCATATCCAGACACATTCTGTTTTATTTCGTCTTTATTCAGATGCATAGGCATCCACACATGCCTGATTCACAACCCCTTGAACCGTTTGTGGTTGGCTAAGCCAGATAACACTCGCACCCACACGCCACCCATGGATGAAACGCATCCACGCTCCTAACAAACAGTTGGACCCTTCTCTCAATGGACACATCTGGGGCTTGTTGGACACAGATGTTTCTGCAGGCCCACGCCCCATTTCAGGGGTTACAGCCACATGCTGAACAGCTCGTGTCATATAAGGTAATGTGAACCTTGTTTGCTAGCAATAACTTAAAGGGATAGTTCATCCAGAAATAAAATTCTATTATTTAGCTACTTACCCTCATGTTGTTTCAAAACGGTGAGACTTTTTCATCTGTGGAACATAAAAGGACATATTTTGAGAAATGTCTCGATGTTTTCTGTTGTCTATTAATTTGAGGTTAAGGCGATAGTTCACCCAAAAATGAAAATTCTTTCATTAATTACCCTCATGTCGTTCCAAACCCGTAAGGGTGAGTAATTAATGACGATTCTTATTTTGGGTAAACTATCCCTTTAATGGTCACCAAAAACTGTGATAACCAGCATTCTTACCATTCATTCCTCAGATGTCAAACAGGTTTGGAATGACATGAGGGTGAGTAAAGGATGATTTTTAGCCAAACTATCCCTTTAAAAGGTGAAGTGTGCAATATTTATGCCAGTACTGTCACCAAGGTTGCATCCAAATACCATACTTTTCTACGGAAGAGGAGTTGTGACCAGGTAACAAAAATACTCTATGTTGTAAGAATATTTAGCTAACGTTCCTATTAAGTCATGAAAATGTTTATCCAGTTTTTTAGGTTTTTAAAAATTTTTATTCCTGGTTATGCAAATGTTACGGGACATTCCATTTTAGCATTTTGCATGAACAACGTAGAAATACATTTGTACTAAAATTTCTGTGCTACAGTAGGCTAAATATTTTTTATTATATTAATATATTTGTGCTAAATATATTTGTGCTAAAACATTATTTAAGGCCAGATGAACGAACAGTCTATTAATGTTACTGGAAGAACGTTTATTCATAACTTTGATATAACCTTGCAAGAACATTAGCTGTTAGCTGAGCAGTGAAGCAATGCAAACAGGTCACATGACAATGAAAACAAGGCACCTGTAGTATGTCCAGATTACATTCATACTACCCACATTCATACTATATAGAACATACTTTATTAACAGTCATAGATTACTTTTTCAAAATAAGTATACCTACTTCGAATTACAGTGAGTTCGGATGAAACCCAAACAAGTTTCCAAAACACTGCCCCCGTCTACTATTTGTCAAACATCAGATAGTCCTGACTCCTGCCCCCAAATTCACTATTGGTTCAACTATAAAGGGGCTTTTGATCCAGCTAGGGCAAAAAACAAAAACACAGTTCTCCATTTATTCACAGGTTCACAGTGTATTCTGACAAAATATATAGCCTACCATTTACTTGCCATATACCATATATTATTACTTTATATTATAGTAGATATATAGTAGATTTATCACCAGTACCCAATTATTTTGGAAACTCTCCTTTTTCTTTTTCTCTATCTTTTCAGCTCAGGGTTGTCGCTGGAGGTTTTGGAACTGTTGTGCATTCTCGTGGTGCCATCAGCCAATCAGCATGGTCAGTAATTAATTACATGGATTTTACATCTCAGACAAATGTCTCAAAAAGTTTTTATATTGGATTTTTATTTCTTTTATATTTGACAGAATCATAGAGAAATAAAACGGCAATGCACTAGCTACTGTATCCTCTTGGGAGAGAGAATATAATATTTTAACATTGAAAATTAAATAACCACAACGTAGGCTGTGTTTAGTAGAAGAAAAAGTCAAGCAACACTGATCAAACCCAGAGAAGACAGGCTGATATTGCAGAGTGGTGCGTGCGTGGAGCTAATCGACTGTGGGCTGTCGGATTCTGGCAGCCACGTCTGTCTCGAGCACTTCACATGCTCTACTGGCCAAAGGATTAAGTGTAAATTCATATTCTGAATAATGACTGACTAGATAACTGCTGTAGCATGTTTACAGTATTTTGCTATTATGATTTAAATCGTTCCATTGGCTGGCTTCATCCACAGCACCTAGATCAGAAGCTGACAGGTATGGAGAGTGTCTCGGGTCACTGAGAGCGTGCCAGCGCAATCCACAGTGCTGCTGTCAGAGACCGATATGAAAAGAATGCATTTTAAACCTTGTTGGTTTGAACGTTGGCCAGCAGAATGAATTTTGGATACTGTTATACACTCGTATATTATGTGTCTGTTGAAATTAAAATGATGTTTTCTGTTGAACGAGTATAAAATATTTTTAGATTTTGTATATAAAAAAGTTATAACAACTACTTATATATACTAGTGATATTTTTATATAGCCTACTGCAAACATTTATTTTTATAAAAAAATGTATACATCATTTTTTTTTATAGATTTTATAGATTAAGTAGATTAGGGCTGACGGTG